GTTTCACAATATGGAAAATAATTTAAGGTCTTCCAAGAAAGTTATGAGTGAAAGTCCCCTCTGAATTTGTGCTTGTGCAGGATGCATGTTTTCATGAGAGTGGTGATAAACAACAGGTTTAGAAGATTTTGTTTCATAGTGAAAAAATTTCCCAAGGCAAGTGTTATTTTTACTTGCAAATCCGGAAGAGCTAGAGTAATGCATTTTAAAATACACACTATTAAATCACAGTCATAAATGAGTACCTTCTCTTTAAAAAACTGTCTTTGGGGGCATAAGCATGTATAATGTATATAAAATGGATCGTTGTAGCCAATTTGGCTCCATTTCATAATCACTGGCAAGGATAATATAGAGATGACAGAGGCCTCACAGAGAATAAGCCCTTAATCTGATCTAGCAATCAGCAAGACATTACTAAAATGGTGATGAATTATGAGATAAGACTATATTAAACTGAGAGCTCACGTAGTTCCTGTAGCTCGGACCCAAGTCCCTTTTTGTTAAAGTAGATTAATCATGAGACTACCAGAAGAAATACATCCCAAACATCCACCTAGTGAAGGCTAGAAATCGATTGGCCCAAGGAGTTCCCTCGAGCACGATGCATCGGAAACAACCTTGAAGAGAGAAGCAGAGATAACAGAAGGTGATGATTTCTTCCCTCGTATGAAGCTGAGAAGCTCACAGCGAGCTGTCCGGGCTGTGCACTTCAGCAGGACGTGAAGTCTCAGTGTGAGCTGAGTTTGAATGTGTGTCATAACTTTACACCTTGAAACTGACGTCTAGGTAGCTGGTAAGGCAAAGAAACTGTCAGTCCTAATAGGTGAGAGCAACACTTTGTTAGAAGATCAAACAAAAGCAATTTTTTCAGAATAGGAGCTGCTTTATTTTAAGTTCAAGAGCTTTTCTTCGGTGCTGCTAATGGGAACATGTGACTGCTCTCTGAGGTTTTACGACAGAATATCAAATCCGTGCAGCTCCACTCTTGAGTATTCTACATTGAAAATATGATGAATAATATTCACAATAACCACTAGGGATGTCATTATAATAGAGGTTGATTATTGTGGAGAAACTGGAAGCAAAAGCTAATACTTTTAAGGCTTGTGCCTTATCAGACTGCTTAATAGTAGGATTTTAAAAGAAATTTTTAGCCACTGATTTTGTTAAAAATAGATCTTACCTCAAAAGTGAAACTATTTCTCACCTGAGCTAACTTTGTCAGCTCAGATGCAGTGACAGGGTTTTGAAGTTTTTTTTTTTCAAAAAAAAGAAAAAAAAAAAAAGCCCAATAATGTGGATTTCACATAATGAGATTAGCAATCACTACCTTGAGTTTTACGAGTATTTAGACTCTGGTTCATGTGGCCAGTCCTTAAATCCACAATGAGGCTATGAGGATCTTAATATAGGACTTTGAAACTTACAAGTGTGTATATGCAGCGATTATTTATTTAAAATGACTTTTGACTTCATTTGATGGCCATGATTTCATTTAGTGACTCAAACATTTATTTTTCAATGTTTATAATTTTTCTTTTCCAATTGGAAAATTGAAACCTCATGTTGCTTTTAACTAAAGAGGAAATAAAATATTTCCATGTAATTATGTTGGAGGAAATTACATTGAAGTAAGGCACCAAAATCCATCTTTTTTTTTAAGGTTTTTTAGTTGTTATTGTCATTGTAGGAATTGATTACATCATATCAACAGATAATTGAGAGTGTAAACTCAAGACCATCAAAACCATACTCATGAGACCGTTTGTAAGCAAAAATCATCCAGGCTGTTGCTGCTGCTGTTAAATGTGTAGGGAGCTCCTAGGCCATCTGGTCAAGTCCCAAATTTCCACTTTCCAAGATGGAAAATTCATGGTCTTCGCCTTAACAGCTGCCTTAGTGAGTGTTCAGTTGGACTAGAAAAACCACACTCAGAAAATAAGGCAGAGTCAGATGAACCCAGGCGGGTGGAGTTCAGGATTTCCCGTCCATCAAAACCCAGGAGGTGGTGGGAAGGGAGAGCCAGCCGGAGGAAAGGGCCACCTCTAAAGAGACAGTGACAGCGTACGTGGCACTAGCTATACGTTCTGTCTTCTGTAGAAGCGTAGAAGTGGGCTAAGGCCTTACTTGACACAGTGATCTTCCATTTGTTTAAATGGCGTCACTTCACATCACATTCCTGGACTGTGATCTAGATGTGAGGACTGCAGGCCAGGGAGCGTTCTTACCAGGAGATGACGTTCCACTTACGAAGTTCCAGTTAGAGATGTCTCCAGCTTCTATAGCATTTTAACTGCATATGTAATGGCACCCCATTATGACAAATTGTTATAATGAATGGGACTGATTGAATATCTAAAGAAGGAGTTGCATTGTGGACAAAAAGTCTGGTACGACAAGGGTCAGGTATAGTTCCCAAAATTAGACAGTTGCTGCTGTGCATTCGTTGATAGAAACATCAGCATTTGTGTCAAACTATTTTTAATAAAGTGTAAAATTACGGTAATTTTCTAATTTAAATTATAATTGAAATTTTTATGCAGCTGTTAAAATGATGTTTATGGGGCCGAGCCCGTGGTGCACTCAGGAGAGTGCGGTGCTGGGAGCGCAGCAGCGCTACCGCCGCGGGTTCGGATCCTATATAGGGATGACCGGTGCGCTCACAGCGCTCACTGGTTGAGCGTAGTGCAACCGGTCTCAAAAAGGACAAAAAAAATAATAATAATAAAATAAATAAATAAATAAAATGATGTTTATGGAATGCTTGACATAATTAGCTTTAAAAGTAAATTATGAAATTTCGTATGCCTTGTGATCACAACCATGTGCAAATATATGATAAAAGACTGAAAGAAAGTATATAAAAATACTAATGATGGCTGTCGAGTGATTTTGGAAACATAAATTTTGACAACTTTCTATATTTTCCAAATTTTGTGAAGTAAGTATTTATTACTTTAAAGTGAAAAAATGTTCACAGAAATAATGTTGTGCTAGAGAAACTATTGAAAATACTATTGATATATAGAGAAGTGTTTGATCGACCAGTATTAATTAATAACAATATGAGCACACTTAAGTATCTACTATTAATAGAATTCTAGTGATTCTATGATACTTAGGGCTAAAGCAGTCTTGGAAGGATTGCTGTTAGTCATGGTGCTGAGAGCTCTGTGAGCTTTCTTGCTAAGTGAGCTCGCTTGCAGGATGCATTAGGACCTCAGCTGCGACTACAAACTGCATAGCGCTTATGTCCTTACTAATGAAAGGCACATCTGAAGTCGCGCTGAATATGCTCCAGTGGCTAATACCACAGGGTTTACATCTTTTCTGAGTCTCTATGGAGGAATAAAACTTGCTGTGATATTGGTTTCTTTCTCTGAGCTGTATGTAACCTTAAGGTTTCATAAAATATTTCCATGTGCCCTAGAGAAATAATAAAAGATGTTTTAAAAGAAATCATCATCTTTAGGTCCAGTTGAAGCACCACACCAAATTGATGTCAGAGCACGACAACTAGTGCAGAAACATTCGCAAGCTCACAAGTACTGAAAAAAAAAAGGAACCCTGTAGTCCAGCATCGTTAATAACCACGTGGACGTTTTGC